GGCATTGACATGGCTAGAAATGAATCCTGATGAGATCTGTTCATGATTAAGCAATCAGGAATTTAGCAAAATTAGAAAGAAAAAAATGTGCAAAACAAAGCAAAATTAATAATTTATTTCAAAAAAAGAACTGTAATAAATAATTTTTATGTGAGTTATCTGAAATTGTTCCAATCTGATTCTTTTGGATAAATGCTCTGCTATAATTCAAAGAAAACTGTTATTGGTTATTTTCATGTTTTTGATGCAAAATGTAATAAATATTATATTTTGGAATACACATATTCAACTTCACAAAATATATTAACAGGGTAAAAAATGCTTTAATGGAGCATGAAAATTTGAAAAACATGAGATAATAAATAGATGTCCTAGTGTTTTTGAGCTTACTGTTGATTTTCAGGAATGCAAAAGAACAAACTAATTTTGTTACCACAGAAATAATATCTACTGCAGCTTGAAGAAAATTATTTTTAAAAACCCAAAAGTACAGAAATTAAAATTACATGAATAAATAACTGAAAAAATTTTATGGAGTTAATGATTTTGAAATTTCTTTCAACCCTGCATACTATAAGTCATGAGAGTTTACATATGTTTGCGTCAATTTCATGTAATTTTAATCTTAACTTTTGTAACTTGAGTTTTTTTAAAATAATTTTTGTCATTGTGGTGTTAATGTCCTCACTTCCATATCATAGAAACTAGTTTGTTTCTTTATACAGTAAAGCCTCGATTATCCGACTCAATTGGGGACTGGGGTTGGTCGGATAATTGAAAAGTCGGATAACCGAAAAGTATGAAAAAATCCATTATTAGTGTAGTATATTATTATATCCCATGTAATTAATATATTAGTATATTGCTATTAACCTACTTTGCATTGAAATTTTCATCGATGTTAAGCCTAACAAAAATTTTTTAAAATAATAATCATCTCTATTGTATCATTAAAAATTAGAAAATTAAGCCTCGTTTAAATACTGGCTCACTTTCATGGTCGAATGAGTGTTGCCAGCTAAAACACGTAAAAATAATATTAAAGTAGCCAAGACATAGCCAAATATTGTAGCGCCACATCACTAGCGGACATTTGAAATTTGCCGACTAAGACGGTCAGTTAACCGAGGTCTACTGTATTTCTGAAAATGAGCAGTAAGCTTGAAGCTTGAATTCAATTTTACACAATAAGCTTTGCTTATTGTAATTGTAGGTATTATTTTCAGTCATTCAATGCCATCAAAATTAGCAAATTCCAAAACATACAAGTCAAAATACACTGATAAAACTTATTGTAGTCTGTTTCAGTTATCATCATCACATAGCATGAAAAGAGGGTTTAAAAATACCTGTCAGTCTTAATCAGTGCTTTAAACATTAAATTTTTATTATTTTAATCATTATTTGTTTACAATAAGTAATGTATTGTAAATTGCAGGAATTTCTTATTATAATGATACATTATCTGTTATTAAAGGCAGTTGCAAGCAAACAATACTAGATGAATTATACATTAGCTAGATACAATCACCACGATATTACTGGTGTAGAATTCAATAAATAAATAAGTAATTACCTAAAACCAGCAATAATTCTCTTCAAAATGAATGTTTTCTTTTGTTTTTAACAGTCATCATCAGGCTTCCATGCATTGGAATGTTTGTAATTGCATTGTTTTTTTAGAATGGGCGTTCTTTTACAAGCATTCCAATGCATGGAAACCTGATGATGACTGTTAAAAACGGAAGAAAACATTTGTTTTGAAGAGAATTATTGCTGGTTTTAGGTAATTACTTATTTATTTATTACATCTAGCTTGTTATGCTCAGCTTCACTCAGGTGTATGAAGTACAGTAGAGCGTCAATTATCCAAAAGTCAATCATCCGAAAGAATTCCAGTTGGCAAATTTAAATTTTTGCCAGTGCTGTGGCGCTGCAATCTTTGGCTATGTCTTGGGCTACTCAAATATATTACGTTTTTGATACTAAATTAACTTCAGAAGTATAATTTTTTATTGTTTTTATATTTTTCAATATATTTATTTTGTTCGTACAAAATAAAAAAATAATTTTTAACGATACAATAGTCTTCGTTAGGCTTAACATCGACGAAAATTCAACGCGAAGCGACACGCAACGGAGAAAAATGTCAAGATGGGATAAATTAATATATTTTTTTGTACATAATCGGTTATCCGAAACATCGATCTTCCGAACAGCCCCAGTCCCAATTGATTCGGATAATCGACGCTCTACTGTATTTCTTGCAATAATTGTTACACCCAGTGTTATTGATTGTAAATTTTAAAAATTATGTGGTAAAACCCATTTTAAAAACATTATAAGAATGCCTATTTACTACATGGTATGTCCTCATAAATAGTGAGTTTATAAAAAAATTATTAGAATTTGGTTTATTTGATTATGGCAACATGACACGTGGGCAATCTGCCAAAAGAGGTGCCACCTGGGAGGACTTTTATGGGAAACTGACTCCTAATTTAGATGTTACTAACATGAAAGAAAACACAATGTGGCCAGCCCATTGAAGTTCAAACCCATGACCAACTATCAGCCACTCAACTACTGGTGGGCACTTATTAGAATTAAGAAAGTACCGTTCAGAAATATAAAAAACTCAAGTTGTTAGATGTGAAAAATTAAATACTTATATAGTTTTTACAGTGTAACATTTTGACTGTATGCAGGTGTGCTATCTGCTACAGGTCACAGTAATGATATAGCGCATCTACTTCGTGCTATATCATTGTTGTAGTACTGTACTTAAGGGAATATATTTGTTCTTTTAATTATAATTATTTTTTGTATAAATTATATTTAATTTATTATTTTTTAAATTTTTTGTTAATAGATGGTGTGAGAAGCCAGGGGTGGAGGCACAAGGCTTCTCCTTTTTGATAGGTGTCAGATTGGTGAGATCCACTCACAATGTCAATGGATGATGTTCTTAAGTTATCCATTCTTCTAGAAAGTGCAAGTGGTAGGGTTAGTGAGGTCATCGACAAGGTGTTGGAATACACGAGATAAACAACCATTTAGATAACTTAACAAGTTTAATATAAAAAGAAAGGATTACAAGAGAATACAATTGGAATTAGAAAACAGTTATTTGATTAAATGGGTTGTTATGGACCCAACTTTTCAAGGGATTATATGTCTACTTATAAACTAAAGACCAAGAGAGAGTTTACATAAAATGGTCAAACATAATACCTCTTTTATCATAGTGTCGTTAGAACGAGAGGTGTCTTCTTCCTTCTTGATGATGGCGACTGGCAAGAAAACAATTCTAAGAACAATTGGGTATGAGCCCTTTTTATTCACACTGAGCATGGGAGTAACATCAGGTGATTTTGATTTAATGTGCTTTAAGATCGAAATGTCTCTCTGGTCCAGCTGATATGGGCCACAATAATTTTGCGATTTGGCAAGGTTGTTGATACTTTTGCCAGGTGCTCTGATTCTTTTTACCATATAAGGCAAACAAATTCAAAGTTCTTAGATGTCATCAATGAAGAGGTGTGTCTCATCTTACCTCATAATTTAATTGATTTTGACAGTTTTCCCATTAATAACCATTTGTTTGGATTTATTCTCAAAACATATTCAAAACATAGTTAAAGATTGTTGATTTGTATGGTTATTTGATTATTTTTATCTATCGGGTAAGAGGTCAACGGAAAGGACAGGTGGTGAAAAAAGAAAGTGGGTTTTTCCACTTCAAAAATTAACTACATATTAATTTAACTAATTTAATCCTCTAATTTAACTAATTAATCGCACTCTGAATCTCACAATAGCATTACATGTAAAACAAGCAAATCGAATAAACAGAAAATTGATATATAGGAATCCAATCAATATTTTGGGGTGAGATGTATGACATTATCTAAGTTAGAAGTATGTTAATATAATTGCCAAGTTTCATAGCAATTGGTTGAACAGTCTAGGCGTGCATAGCAAACAAACAAACAACCTCATTTGTATATAGATTAATAATTCGAAAATTTATTATTATAAGGTCTTCAATCACAACTTTATACCTAATTTATTATATTGTTAAAGTCCAAAAGTTAACAATATGAAACTTATTAACAATGAAATTTAATATTTGCAAAAACTACATTAGTTTATAATTAACAAGTTTCTGCTGTAAAAGTTTAAATAACACTAACATGCTAAATAATACAATAACAAATACAGGAAAAATTTACTTAATTATGAACCAAATTAGTAATAATTTTGAATAACAAAAGTAAAAGAATTTAACAGCTTTTATCTGACAAGAGAAATGCATAACTTAAATTTACATTACAAACACAACTTTTCCCAATTTGAGAAAAGTTGTGTTTGTAAGGTAAATTTATAAAGTTATGTTTGAATTTTCTAATTATCCATCACAGTTGGTGTCTGCTGGAAGCCACATCTAAGTTTCTTTTTTGCAGACTTTTAAGTGCTGAATGTGACATCATGTTTCTAATGTCATTCATTGTATGCTCATCTACATATTTATTTGCTAACAATTGTTTTACAAGTCTCTTATCAACAATTTCCCATATAATATTTGATAAAATATTAGTATGTATATAAAGTTGATTAAATTGCCCTGCAACATAATGATTTAATAATAAATAAGTAAAACTCAAATAAAATATAACTTGAGAAAATTTAGGCTCATTTCCTCACATTATATGCATATCATTATTAATGTCATAGTCCATAAACCAAAATTTTCACTAAACTGTCATCTTATTTAATTGTCTTGCTTTGTATTTTATCGGTCAATAATTTTTTATCATTTTTGGCAGTTCCCAAAGTGAATTTACAATAAGCAGATTATATTTTATATAAAAAAATTAATGGTTGAGATTTAACAAGTTTAATAATTTAGTTTTTCTTATAAAAAATTGTATATAAAATATAATAATTTTATTGCTGATTTATTGGAAATATTAATATAACTTAAAATTTATTTATAGGATGTTGTTGTTATGTATTATGCTCCCTGGTGTGCATTTTGTGGTTCAGTAGCTCATGTTTTTCTAACGGTTGCAAGATACTTTGCTGGAATTAGTGGCATTATATTTGTAAGGTGAGCTAAATTTATACATTTCTTTGATAATGTAAATAATAATGAATGTACAAAAAAACTTAAAAATACTTTTTCTGTTAATGATATGAATATTTTTTCTCTTCATTTTAATTACATATAGAACTTATTGCTATTGATTTTATATGACATTTTATGAAATTAAGATGCCATAAAGAATTTTTTAAACTCTACTTTTTATGACTGTGTCAATTTGAGACAAAATATAAGTTTTATATTAAGTTTGATTTTTTTTAAAGTATAACTTTTATTTATTTTTGCCAAGATTGATGTCATCAAATGTTTTTGAAATCTACAAGTAATAATAAAAAATGTTTTCTTTTGATTTTTCTGTAACTTCATCTGTAGTAAATAATACTACCTTTGTCTCTTCAGAAATAATATGAATCTGTTATGTTATTTTGCTGTTTTTGCATTCATGATGTTGTAAATGTAACAATTGATTATTATGACAATTGTGTTTCATTTGCTGTTAGATTTTAAAAAGTCTGCTTATTTTAGCCTTACTCTATAAATCTGACTTGTATTAACGAGGAAAATATCATAGAAATGATGAATAAAGCTGTAACTCTGATTAACATGAAAATCTCAAAGCCAACCTTGCATTTCCAGCAAACACATTTATTAAGAACATAAACATTTTTGGCATATTTCATAAGCTTGCATCTGGTTTCTAATCTAGTTTCAATTTGATAATGCTTGAAATTGGAATGTTACTCAATTAATGACAGTGTTTAATTTTAAGATATAGAACATCCTATATTTCTCATGCGTTCATAATTAAAAATGTAATTTAAATATATAGTATCATATATAAATGTATTCATATAATTATGATAAATAAAGTACAGTCGACTCTTCTATAAGATTATAGATACGTTCCATTCTTTAGGAATCTGATTTCTTACGAGTCCTTCCAATCACAGCCCGACACGTGAAGTTTACAGACTACGGCTGATTGAAAGGTTTTCTTCCATAAAATTAATCGATTCTAGACTAATCCGACTCAACATTTCCAAAATACATATATTTTGGAAATAATCCGTATAAACTACGCTATAAACAAAAAATTGTAGGATTACTTACCGAGTGTGCACCATTCAACATCGCCATTGCTCAAGCTTGTTTTCGTCGCGGAACAGCTCAGCATCATCATCATCATCATCATCATCATTATTTATTAACATGTTTAGTACACATAACCTGGTTCCGCTGCAGCACTACCAGGTGTAAGTAACAAAATCAATATAAACTACAATATTACATCACATTTAACTTATTATGACATTAATTCAGGGTTATTATAATTTGTATTATTAACAATTATAAATTATTATTCAGTAGTTAAGTATTAATTATTATCTAGTAATTATTAAAATTA